GAATTCAACGATGAACTAGTCCGTCTCGGGTGGGTGTTCGAGAACGCTTCTAGTCGGTGGGCGTGCCCAGCTTTACCCATTAAGAAGCCAGGCAAGGATGAATTTCGGCAGACAAGCGATTATCGGCCGGTTAACGCTAAGACGGAACCCATTGCAGGTGTCATGCCGATCTTGCCCGTGATCACAGAATACGTCAAAGGCATGAGTTTCTTTGGACTTTTCGACTTCATCAAAGGGTTCTTGGCAGCTACCGCTGGCCAAGGCCAGCCAGGAAATTCTCAGCTACATGACTGGTGCATTATAGCACATTGTGGCCCTCAAGGCCATCGCGGTAGGGACGCGATGTTGGCCCATTTAAGACGCATCTTCCACGTGCATCAATACGCCAATGCGTAGACCGATTTCTGACACGATGCCTACTCTGTCATCATGTAAAAGGGGGGGGGGAGATAGGGCCAAGGCCCTGGAGCGACCTACCAGACCAACGAGCGAAACCAAGCGCTTCACTGGGATTTCCTATACCTTTGTGAATCATTTGGTGACTTGAAGTATGTATTGGTGCTGAAAGATGATGCAAGTCACTACTGCTAATTGGTTAAGTGTGATCTACCTACCAGTACCGTTGCGGCTGATGCTATTATGGAGTGGCACAGTCGTTTCGGCATTCCCAAAGATTGGATCAGTGACCAAGGATCTCACTTCAAGAATTAAGTGATTGAGGACCTTTGTGCTAGACTCAAGTGCAAACAAATCTTCTCGCCAACATATAGCCCATGGATCAATGGGTCTGTTGAACGTGTCAACCGAGATATACTGCAAGTATTAAGGGTCCTGATACTAGACTACAAGATCAATCATCGTGACTGGCCCAGGCCGATCCCAGTCGTGCAGGCTAGCCTCAATTATACTGCAGTGCCGTCACTAGCCGACAAAACACCGGGCGAGTTATTCACCGGTCTGGAGCCCCCCTCACCTTTGCAAGCGGTGTTCCTCGGGCCTGAAGTGGCTCGAAGTGTACAGCCAACTCGAACTTCGGCCGAAATTGAAGAAAGATTGGCCCGATTGCGAGCTAGTGTGAAAGATATGCACAGAACTGTTACAGACGGCCGTCTCAAGTAGACATTGCTCAACAAGAAAAGGGAACGTGTTGATAACATCGTCAACTTCAACGTGGGCCAGTATGTACTGCGATCACGTGTCGACGAGAAGAGACAGACAAAGCTGCTCATCACTCGGATCGGACCCTACTAGGTCATTACAGCGGAACCACACAACGTGTTCAAAGTCAAGCATCTTGTAACCGGCGAAGAACTTGATGTACATGCTTCGCGGCTAAAGTTCTTCGCCGACAAGGACCTTGAAGTGACTGAGGAACTCCTGGAGCACGTTGCTGCTTAGGGCATCACGCTTCGCGTGCGCGAGCTGATGCAGCATCGTTGGAATGACCAAAGTCGTTCCTACGAAATCCTTGTCGGGTGGCAAGGTCTGGAAGCAATCGAGGACACGTGGGAGCCTCTTACATCCCTAAACTGAGACGTGAGCGCGTTAGTGAAAGGAGATGTTGCTTCGGCCGAAGACGCTAAGCTTGAGGAACATTTAAAAGCCTTGGAAGCGAAGGCGATACGGTATTGACCGTGTATATGTGTATACCCTTGGTATAATGACTGTATAGTCACTACGTTGACGTTCTACCTTGATATTGTGATTGTTTTGGTCAGTATCTTGAGTGATATGCATGGTCAAGTCAACTTCAACGGCAACGTGTTGAAGTTGTACTTGTTATGTCATGTATGAGTGATATTTACGTAATCATGAGATGAAACGTCACCGAGTGGTGATATAAAATACAATTTGGTACAAGTGTCAATTTTACCGTGTTGTCGGATTGGTCTTGGAAAGGGGCTGCAGTGGGTCGTGGTTTGAAAGCCCAACCGAGCCCACGCAATGCAGTCGAGTGCGACAGTAAGGTTTACCAGCATCATGTTGTTGCAGTCAGCCATGTAGATGTGGCTCAGCGAGAAG